ATGCCGCGGCCGCGTGGAGGTGATGTACGCCGGGGGCTGGGGCACCGTGTGCGACGATGACTGGGACTTCGCGGATGCGCGCGTGGCCTGCCGCGAGGCGGGCTGCGGTCCTGCGTTGGGCGCCACCGGCCTCGGCCACTTCGGCTACGGGCGCGGCCCCGTGCTGCTAGACAACGTGGGCTGCGCCGGAACGGAGGCCCGCCTGAGCGACTGCTTCCACCTGGGCTGGGGTCAGCACAACTGCGGTCACCATGAAGATGCCGGCGCGCTCTGCTCAGGTGAGGCCGCTGCGAGACCCAACAGAGACACGTACTGCAGCGCGGGCGGGGCAGCGCAGCACGGCCTCCCAGGAATGGGCGGGGCCGCGCGCAGGCGCGTACTGCCGCGAGGGCGGGACAAGGCGGGCTCTGAGAAATGGGCGGGGTCATGCGTGAGGGTTCTCTGCGGCACGGCACCGTGTGCGGGGCTGGAGAGGACGCGCACTCCGCAGAGGGAGGCGGAGCCCGCCCATCGACTCGCTCTGCGGCTGCGCGGCGCGGGCGGAGCCGGGAAGGGAGCGCCCTCTGCAGTGAGAGTGGGGTGGAGCTTGGGGAGGGCGCGCACTCTGCGGCAGTGAGGGGCGGACTGGAGGGGAGAGGCGGAAAGCCGGGGACAAAGTCTGGAAATCTGTGTGAAGGGAGGGGCGGGGGAGCTTTCGCTCTGCTGAGTCAAGGACCCACAAAGCTCTACTAAGCAGAGAGAGTTAGTTGATCGCTTTCGGGGAGCAAGCATCAGACCTTTGGGAGGAATCAATGGAAAGGGGTGTTTGTAGAGCCTGACCTATTTTAAAATGCTGTTCATTGATTGGTGTGGGCATTGATAGCTTCATCCTCCTTTGGTACCCTGGGCCTAATAACTTTGGGGTAGCTACAAAGGGTTCCGCTTTGGGTCCCAAGGTGAAAGAAACACAACCCTTATTTATTTATTTTTAAATTTATTTATTAGAGAGAGAGCATGAGCGGGGGGGAGGGGCAGAGGGAGAGAGAAAGAGGGGAGCCCGACCACGACCCTGAGACCATGACCCCAGTGGAAACCAAGAGTCGGACACTTAACTGACTGAGCCACCCAGGTGCTCCATCAACCCCCATTTCTGATCCAACTGGCAGAGAGCAGTTGTCTTTCAGGGTCCTGTAAGGTCCTCTCTGCCCCTAAATCAGGCTTCCCTTGGGAGGCCAGGAGGTAACCTGGCCTCAAGGAACATGTTCCCTAATGTTACAGCCACCTCTTTTTCTTTGTCCTTGCTGAGCCAGGCCCAGAGGAGCTAGGACTGCAAGTCCAGCAGGATAGTTCTGAGACCACCCGGGTGCCCACTCCTCGGCCAAGGGACGGTAGGTGCTTACAGCCCCCAAAGATGGAGGTAGAGGCATCAGGATAGGAAGGACCAGAATTGAGAGAGATCATAGCCTGAGGTTATCCAGCTCAACAGATTTGCACCAGGTTTGAGAATCTTTGTTCTGTGCTAGTCCGGGATATGGTGTCCAGAAAGAGGTAAAGGGGGGTTTTAAGGGAGCGATCTTAGAGATTTCTAGGGATAGGACCAAAATAAGGGAATGTGGCTCCTTCCTGAAGAGAGAAATGAAAGAATTCACTTTTACACCTGTGGATGAGAGGAGATGATGAACTTCAGGGGACACAATCACAGTCTCTAGAGAGCCGCGCTGGGGCTGAGGGTCTGGGATTATGAACAGAGGACTAAGAACAGACATGAAGCACTCGGGATGTGCACAGCACCCCCACAAAGCCTGGTACACATTCTTCCAGTCCAGAGACTGAGTCTGGACTGCTGCGCATCCTATTTTAATCTGATTTGTCTGCCCTTATCCATCGGCCCCTAGGGCAATGCTGTGTCTCAAACCACCACCCTTTGCCTCTTCTGTCCACCCCTTCATGGCCTGGCATGGGCCAGCCCCTGCAAGCCCTGATCCTTGTCTCTCCCCAGGGCACCTGCGTCTGGCCAACGGAGCTCACCAGTGTGAGGGGCGTGTAGAACTCTTCCTAGGGCAAAGGTGGGGCACCGTTTGCGATGATGCCTGGGACCTGCGAGCAGCCACTGTCCTGTGCCACCAGCTGGGCTGTGGCCAGGCCCTGGCAGCCCCCGGCGAGGCCCACTTTGGCCCAGGCCGAGGCCCTATCCTCCTGGACAATGTCAAGTGCCGTGGGGATGAGAGTGCTCTTCTGCTCTGTTCTCACATACGCTGGGATGCCCACAACTGTGACCACAGCGAGGATGCTAGTGTCCTGTGCCGGCCATTGTGACCCAGCCTGTTCTGCAGACCATCTCTTCTGGGAGCCTGCTGTGGCTTGTCCCTCTTCCTCCAGGAAGCCCTCCTCCTATGACAACTTCAGTTCACCCTACCCTTCCCTCTTCTTGCCTGGGAGAGAACCCACTCTGACAATGTGGTCCTGCCTTGGGAGCCTAGAGCCTGACTCTACCCATCAACCTCAACTGTTGTCAACTACCATGGGCCCAGTTCAATGAGAGCTCCCACTTTCTCCTCAGCCAAAACATAAAATGGAGGGAAGGGAATGACTTAACTCTCTTCTTTGGTGGGGCTCCTCTTATAGCAATTTGACCCTGCCTTCCTGGACCCCGGTCCAGGAGGCTCAGGGGCTCTCTATAAATGGGGTATCTCCCTTTCCCCCACCCATATTGGGATCCCCAAGAACAGGGAAGGCAAGAGAGGCCCACAGCTCTTACCTTCGCCTGCCTGGGGCTGCAGAAGAACCTGGGTCATTGCCCTGGCCTTCTCCATGAGGGCCCAGACTCAGATGGTGCTTGGCTGGACAAGGGGACTGGAGGGGCCAAAGCAGGGACAGTGGCCCCTCCCTGCAGCTGGAACCAGCATCTCTGATTTATGCTGCCCCCACCACAGAGCCTCCACTCTGCAGCAGTGAAGAACCCTGGGGGCCTGTAGCCACCTGTTCGTAGGTGCCAAGTCAATAAAGCATTGTCCCCCCGCCCCCCGCTGTCTTTTAACTTGTGGGCACAAGTGCATCATTTGTAGCAGCAGGAAAGACTGGTTAGGACTCTGGAGGAAACTGGCTTGGGGATGGAGTGTGGTTCAAGAGCATCATCAGAGAGCTCTCAGCAGGCCCACGCATCTTTGAAATGCTGACTCACGATATGAGGCCTGGAATGCCCCAGAGGGTCCCCAGCCCATCCCTGCTTTCCTTTTGCATATAGAGAAATTTAGGTCCTACTGAAGGAAAGGATCTGCTCCAAGACACATTGCAAGGTGGGCAGAGGCACTAGAAGCAAAACTTGAGAAGAGGCAGGGAGATGAGAGCATCTGAGGGCTGCTCTTGGAGCACCTCACCTGGAGCTCCAAGGGCAGAGAGAAGTGGGGGATCTTGCCAGAGCCCCTCTCAGTCTCAGGGTGGGTGACTTGCCAATAAAAAGCACCTGTCCTGGTTAAGCCTCTGCCCTCCACGTCTGGCGGGCAGGCTCTCTGCTTTCCCATGCCTGCTGTATCAAATTATCACAAACGGAATGGCTTAAAACAACACAAATTTATTATCCTACAAAGTTGTTTTTCTTTTTTAAGATTTTATTTCTTTATATGAGAGAGTGAGCAGGGGGAGGAGCAGAGGGGGAGGGAGAAGCAGACTCCTCGCCAGGTGTGGAGCCGCACGCGGGGCTCAGTCACAGGACTCTGAGATCATGACCTGAGCTGAAACCAAGAGTCGGATGCTCAACCGACTGCTACCCAGATGCCCCTATCCTACAGTTTTTGAGGTCACCAGTTTGAAGTGGGTCTCCCTGGGCTAAGCTCAAGTTATTGGCAGGTTGGTGTTCTTTCAAGAGAATCTAAGGGAGAATCCATTTCCTTACCTTTCCAGGCTGTCCGCATCCCATACCCGCTCATGACCTCCTTGCAGCCAGCAAGTGCATCACTTGGACTGCTGCTTCCATCACCTCATCTCCTTTCCTGACGCTCCTGCCTCCCTCTTCCGTCCTCTGAAGCCCCTTGTGATTATAGGAGACCTGGATAATCCAGGCTACTCCCCCATCTCAAGGTCCTTAACTTAATCACATCTGCAAAATCTCTTTAGCCCTGTAAAGTAACACGTTCAGGAGCTCCAGGGATTAGGACATGGACATTTGGGGGGAGGTGAGTGGGGGAGGGCATTATTCTGCCTCCCACAGGCTCCAGACCTGGGTCCTGGCTCACAGCCAAGGAGTGAGGCAGACACTTGAGCTCCACAGTCCATCAGCACTTGGCAGTAATGGCTTTGTCTCCATTTTTCAGGGAGCTCTGAGACCCACTGTGTCATTAGAAGGATGAGGACCCGAGCAATGAAAGGAACAAAAATATTTAAGGACTCAGGGAGTCAGGGCAGAGGGACGGGACCCTCCAGCCAGCCTGTATTCCCCAGAGCGGAGTGCAGCGCACTCAGATTCTGCGTAGCCACTCTGGCCACACCCACATTCAAGTGTGCCCCTCCCTCGTCCTGAGAAGTATCACAGCTTCCCATTCCTGGACTCCTCTTTCCCATCTAAACAAACTGCTTTCATCTAAGCTCTGTCAACCCACATAGCAGCCCTGTGAGGAAGCATTATCATCCTTTTTTTTTTTTTTTTTAAGATTTTATTTATTCATTTGAGAGAGAGAGAGAGCATGAGCTGGGGGAGGAGTAGAGGCAGATGGAGAAGGAGAAGCAGGCTCCCTGCTGAGCAGGGAGCCCGATGCGGGGCTCCATCCCAGAACCCTGGGATCATGACCTGAGCCAAAGGCAGATGCTTAACCGACTAAGCCACCCAGGCGCCCCAATTATCGTCCTTTTTTGCAGACAGGGAAAGCAGGCTCAGAGAGGGACACTGATTTGTCCAACTCAGTGGACCCACGACTAGAACCTAAGATTTTTTTAAAGTAAGCTCTACGTCCAGCATGGGGCTTGAACTCACAACCCTGAGTTTAAAAAGTCACATGCTCTACCCACCGAGACAGCCAGGTGCTCTATTCTAAAACCTAAGATCTCGATGCCCCTTAATACTGGTCACCAACATGTCCAGGGCTCCCCTTCCTGGCACATGGTAGATTTGCACCTCCTGGTCCTCTTGAAGTGAGGCATGGCCCTATGACATGCTCTGGACAATGAAACATGAGTGGAAGTACCCCCTCAGATAGGAGCCCTCAAGGACCTGAGCACAGTTTGCCGAATTCCTTCCTTCAAGGTGACCAGTGATGTTCCAGGTGGCACAGGGTCCATCAACCTGCATCCCCGAGTGAGGGCCACTTGGAGCAAAGCCTCTGTTGACTCCCCATGGACTTAGAGCGAGTGAAAAATAAGTCTTTGTTGTTGTAAACGAGAGTGGTTTTTTTTTCTATCTGAGCAACCTAACTGAGAGCATCCCGTCTGACATGCTCAGGCTCCTAAAGTTTTCTGCCCTGTGGGGTTTATATGAAGCCTGTTTTCCAGCCAGTTATCAAGGCTAGTACTGTTGTTATAACTCTGTCGTGGGGTACTTTTTGGTATTCGGTGGGCCAGGGCCTGCTGACTGGGAGCACACAGATAAATAAGACAGGACTTTTGCCCTTGAGAAACTCACATAATAATCGCTTGCTGATTTGCTGTCCCTGAGTGGGACAGGCTCTCCTGAAAGTCAGCCTGTCCCACTCAGAACTTTGTCACCTCTACCTAAACCTGGGCTTCCCTGTTTGGTAAGTAGCGCTACCAACCACTAGCTTAAGCCAGGAACCTGGGTGTTATCCCCAGCAATCCCCATCTCCCAAAACTAATTAGCCACCAAACGTTACTGATTCCATCTCCCGAACCTTACTAGAATCTGTTCACTTCTCTCCACCCCACATTTCTCACCACAGCTTCTTCACTGGCTCCCTGTCTCCAGCCCATTCCCCACACCACAAGAACAGTGCACTATTTACAAACCCAGTGCAGCCACTACCTTGGTCAAACCCCTCCCATGGCTCCCCAGTGCTCTTCCTCAACTCCTTAGCTCAATTTGCAAGGTCCTGTCCAGCCTGGCTCTGCCTGTGTTTCCAGCATCATCTCTTGCCACTTGCTGCCAGGTTCTCGCCAGGCTGAACTACTTTCAATTCCTCTAATGTCTGGGCTCCCTTCCCACCGGGCCTCTGCACATGCTGTTCTCTCTGCCTGGGATACATGTCACCCTCTCCCCTCCTTCCCCTGAGTCAACTCTTATTTAGCCTCATGTCTTAGCTTTCCTTTTCTCCAGAAGGCCCTCTCTGGACTCCCAGTCTGGACTAGGCACAGCCAGCATCATACCCAGGGGAGACAGTACTCACCCCTGCTGAGATTGCTGACTTGGCTGTCTCTTCTACTAGCTCAGGGGGCCTTTGAGGGCTGTGGCTGGAGCTGTAATGCCCAACTTTGTGCACAGGACTCCACATACAGCAGCTGCTCAAATAATATCTGTCGGGTGAGTGAAGGACACGAGCAAATATTTCTGGAGCCCCTGTGTGCTAGGCCAAGCACAGTGCCGGGCTCTGGGGCCCCAGAGCAAGAAGAGACCTGGAGCAGCTTCCTGTTTGCAAGGCACAGAGATTACTTTCAAGAGGAGAAGAAACCAATGATAAGCCACTGAGCATATCCATAGTCAATTTGAGCTAGTGATTAGTGCTCTAAAGGACATAAAGCAGGTGTCGTGGTAGGGACTGAGTGGTCAGAGAAGGTCCCCGATGAGGTGAGGCTTGAGTTGGGCCTCAGTAATGAGAGGGAGGTGGTCATGAACCTTTTGGCCACAGAAAGGTTTGGGAAACATTCTAAGTCCTTCAGTGGGGATTTAGCCTGGTCTACAGAAGGGCCAGATCACTCAGGGCTTTCTAGGCTGTGGGGAGAAGTTTTATTCTAAGAGCAATGGGAATCCATTGGAAAATGAATGATATAGGTGCCCCAGATGTCAGCCTCTTGAATATCTTCCACCTCTTTCAACTTGCTGAGTGTGCCTTGCCTCTTAAAATTTACTTAAAAGGACCCCGCCACTGGGGTGCCTGGGTGTTTCAGTTGGCTGAGTGTCTGACTCTTGGTTTTGGCTCAGGTCATGATCTCAGGGTCTTGAGATCAAGCTTGGGCTCCAAGCTCAGTGTGGAGCGTGCTTGGGATTCTCTCTCTCTCCCTCTGCCCCTCCCTTCCTCCACACACAGGAGCTCGAGAAAGAAGAAAAGAAAGAACGAAAGAAAGGAAGGAAGGAAGGAAGAAAGAAAAGAAAGAAAAAGAAAGAAAGAAAGAGAAAGAAAGGATGGATCCAGCTGGGTGTTTCCCATTATAGTAGGATACCCAGCATCCCTACCAAAAACTGAAGGAATTCTTCAGGAGCTTAGATTCTGCCAAGCACTCCTGACTTTTGCTTCTTTTTTTCTTTCTGAGATTTATTCATTAGAGAGAGAGAGAGAGAGCATGAGCGGGGAAAGGGAATCTTTTTTTTTTTTTAAGATTTTATTTATTTATTTGACAGAGAGAGAGACAGCAAGAGAGGAAACACAAGCAGGGGGAGTGGGAGAGGGAGAAGCAGGCTTCCCGCCGAGCAGGGAGCCCGATGCGGGCTCCATCCCAGGACCCTTGGATCATGACCTGAGCTGAAGGCAGACGCTTAACGACTGAGCCACCCACGCGCCCCGGGAGAGAGAG